CCCCCCCCCCCCCCCCTCCCAGTAGCCAGCGCTCTCCTCTTCTCTCTGACACTCCAGGTTGTGGGTGGAACCTTGCTAGGTACAATGCAGAACTGCAGGTCCTGCATTGTACCCGATAATGGTAGTGTGCATGCGAGGAATGAAGCAGTGTAGAGAAACAAACTTTGGGAGAACCGATCGTCCACGCTACCCTGGTAGCCAGCACTCTCCTCTACTCTGACACTCCGGACCCCTGGCTGTGGTCACGACCTTGCTATGTTTTATGCAGGATTGCTGGTTGTGCAATATAATGAGTGCATGCAACCAATGGAGCAGTGAAGAGAAGCAACTTTGGGAGAACTGATAGTGTCGAGAAAGTCCCACTGCAAGAGTCAATTATGATTTCACCTTTAATAAACCTTTGCCAAGACTTTTTCTTCAACAAGCACTACAGTGACTTACTTGTCCTCCATGATGCGGCTCATGGTATAAATAGCGCTGTGACCAAGGTGTGTTCCCAAAAGGTTTCGCATCAGCTGAAAAGACAGAAAGTAATATTTATTCCAGGCGGCAGAAATAACTGGATTCAATTAAAGTCATTAAAAAAAAGAAGCAAGGGCAACAATAACCCGATGTGCAGACACTACATAATGAGACCTCCACAGAGAATTAGAACATACACTATTGATTGGATGGTATGTAAGAAGACAGAGTAACATTAAAGTACAACTAGAGGCAACAATTTTTTTTATTTTATTTGGATAGAGTCATGAGGGGGTCAGAACCACTGTCAGGTTTTAACTGCTGACCCCATTATGGAGATTCACTCACTTTGTCCTAAATTTTCAGTTGCCACCAGAACAGGAACAGATGGGAAATCTTCCAATAGGGACACTTGTTCCTATGACAACGGTCTAAGGGCTCATTTACATTGGAGCATTGTGTTAAGAGCGTGCTATTGCAAAACGCACCCAGAGTGCAGTACTGTGCTCCAAGTGTATTGCAATTCATTGGAATGGCAACCCAAAACATCTCCCGGTGGCCGCGCGTTGCAGTAAAGGGTACTGCAATACCATGCGATGCAGTGGAAATAAATTAGTACATGCTCTACTTTTTTTTCCTTCGCACCACAAGGCACTGTGGTGCCACACATTGCCACGCATGGCCGACGGGAGGTACATTGAGGTAGTATTCTAATAAATGGCAACGCAACACACCTAGTCCTTGGTACCACATGCTCGGTGCGTTGTGTGATAGCAGTTCTTAGCGCAATGCTCTGGTGTAAATGTGCCTTAAAGAGGATTTCCTTCACATTAGATACCTCCTCCCTTCCTGTTAAGTCTACATGATAGGAAGTGTAAGAAAATCTCCATGATGAGACACAGATGGTAAAACAAAAAAACAACCCAACCTGACAGCAGTTTTAATTCTCCCCTATGCTAAAAAAACAAAAAAAAACTTTAGATATACTTTCAGCTCAGAATACCATATACTCCTTTGCAGTGCGATTAAGGGCACTGGGGACATCTATTTCCCATTAGAACACAGTGCTGCTCAAACATATGTTTGAATGCAAAACACCACATTTGACAAGAAATGGCTGCGTTACACCTACAATCCAAAACAAACCTTAACCGAACCTGCTGCGTTCAGAATAGTGCAATGCAAAACGGGTCATACACAGCCACTAAATGATCTACACTATTTCATGGAAGCCTATAGGAATCTGCTGACCTGCGTTTGAAGCACATGTCAAATGCAGCAAAACTACTCCTGTTTGCATAAGCCCTTAGGCCTAGTTCACATGGGCTTCAACTTGTATAAGAGTGTCAACATCAAATGTTTTGGCAAGCTTTGAGCAGCTCTGTGGAAACCTTTAAAAAAAAAAAAATCTCCATTCCCAGTATGGAAATGTTAAATATAGATCTTAAGGGAGTGCTGACTGTCACTTTAAAGGAGGATTATGGGGAGAGTAAAAATACACTCATCCCCATTATAACCACGTGCGACACTGAAGCGGTCAAACATCAGCCCTATTGATCAAGAACTGAATGATCGCATACCGCTGATCACTCAGTTCCTACTGTGACCCTAAAGAGAACTATGGCAAAAAAAAAAAAAAGGTTGGGCCATCATTCTTTTTTTAAACAAGCTGTTAGGAGGCTTCCGCAGGCTTTCAACATGCTTCAAACTGTGCCGAAGCTCTAGAAGCTTGTTTAAAGTGAGTCAGCACTCCCATTAAGATCTGTGTTTAACATTCCCAAAAATTGGCACTGAAGAGTTCTTTACAGGCTTCAACAAACCTTGCTGAATGCTTTGCAGAAGCTCACTGTTCACACACATTGTACTAGTCAAGCATCAGTTCTCACCTTCCAGCAGGGCTCGCACAGCTCTTTGACATTAATTGTTCGGCACAGTGTGATGACGAATGTTGGGATGCTCTCAGACGGCAGACAGTTGTAACACACAACGGCGTCCAGAACCTTTAACGACACCTACAAATACAAACACCAGCTCGGGTCACTGGTACCAAAACAGCCCTCCATACATTTTACCCTGAAATTCTTACTAACCATGCAGTCATCTTGTGCATATCCTGGCAGATCAACCGGCTGTGAGACGGTTGGCACACACGAGACTCCCTGGAACAGAGCTCCAGCCTACGGGGAATACAAACAGGCTGCACTTCTGCTCTTTTTTGAAAGTCCAACAAGCTTTATTGTAAGTAGTGCAAACTCAGTCGTTATTGTGAAATCAGGATTCACTGTGAATTGCTATGGGTCATATAAATAACCCCCACCTGCTCCAGTACTCCATCTTCATGACAAAGCCCCTGTTGGGGAGACACGCATGAGTAGTGTTCTGGTGTTGAATGATGTGCCACAGTCTGGTTTTGTGAGACTGCACAAACTTGCAATAAAGCTTGTTGGATTTTCATGGAAGTGCAGCCTGGTTGTATCTGGATAATGTGGGGAGGACCAGATCCCAAGAGGTATGCAACCTTGGCCGGTGGATAATTTGCAAGACTGCCTGGAGCGGTAATATCTTTATTATTGATGGGCAGGGCTAGGTCCAAACCCAGTTCATCCAAGCACACCCCCAAGCCCAATCAGTTGTGGCAGGTGAATTCCCCACCTCGCAGCTACAAAGGGGTGGGTAATGCCCCTGCCGCAATTGGATTGGGGGTGGTTTAGCAGCCTCGCTAACCTAAATCACAGAGCTTGCATTCAGTAACTTTCAGAGAAAAGAGTTCTGTATGTAAGAAGCGCTCGATACACATTGACTATACAGTCACACTGCATTCCAGCGAGGAATAAAAGTATTTAAAAAAACAGCAGAACAGGACATGCTGTGTTTATCCAAATGCAAATTGGTGCATGGCGAAAATCAATGTAAGCGAGCACTACTCCATATGTTCCAAATCAAACACTGCATTCCTCATCTTTTAAAAGAAAGTTCTGACAAGAGGACGTGCATTGTCCAGCCTCCCAATAAACTAAACAAATCTGAAGTTTTGGAGTCTGTCATATGAATATATCCTTCCCCATGGTCCATCCTTGAGAGGGTAGACCTAATACTCCAGAGGTCTAATGCAGGGGTAGGCACCCTCGGCACCCCAAATGTGGAGAAACTAGATGTCCCATCATGCTTCTACCTCTGGAAGTCATGCCTGTGGCTGTTAAAGTCTTGCAATGCCACGTAGGACTTTAAGCTCAATAACAGCTGGAGGTTGCCTAAGTCTGGTCTACTGTGTTTGCTGATAAGCAATAAGAGAATATATAAACTAACCTCGATGTCATAGGAAGATGTAGTCCGATTACAAAGCAGACAAATCATTCTGTATAAAAGAAAACATTACATTATGGATACAATCTATGCAGTGCTTTAGCAATCTTTAAAATCAAGGATACATAACTGCACTTACTGCACCATAGGAGCAATGTAACGTTCCAGGTAACAGCTGTGAAACTTCACCAGATTCACCAGGACCATGAGGAAATCTGGGGATAGGCCCACCTCCATCCACTGCAGGACAAATGCAGCTGCAAGGAAACGGCGATAAAATACATTGGAGGCTGACAGATCAAGAGCCTGTACCCTAAAGTCCGCTTAGGGCTTTTTAATACCATGCATGTTGAGCTGCGTTTTTCTGGACACCACCACACATGTTTTCCATGGCCCCGGTTCACACCATACATGTGCGGTGGTGCGCAGAAAACACAGGTCAACAGACATGGTGTAAAGAAAGCCCTTAAAATGTTCCCTTTAAATCCATAAAATACTTTTCAGGTCCATCAAAACAAAAAAGCTGCTAACATCCTACAGTTCACTTTCTTTACAAAGCAGCGACAGCCCAAGTAGAAAGGCCTGTCCCATGTCCGCATGCTGCAGAGGAGCCTGGCTCTGTGTGGAAGCAGTGACCTCTCTGTAGGAGGTCCAACACACCTTCCGAGTCAGAGCTGGAGCACTCCAATCAGCAGGGAGCATGAGCTTTGCCGACTGTAGGTCTACAGGTGTGACTCAGCAGGGAAGGTGTGAATCAGAGAGGAAAGCAGTTTCAAGATCACAGTTGCCACCACATGAACAAACAGATTCGGTTAACATCTGTTCACATGATCTCCGAGGCAAGAGGATCAGAGTTCAGATCGGCTGATCCTCCCCTGAGGTCATGCTGGGAAATGCTTGTGTATCGAGCCAAAAACGGGTAGTCATTGGGTGACACTAACGTGCTGGCCATCTCTCGTCACCTTCCTGATAACTGTGAAATCAATATAATAAAGCTCTGGCCTTCTAAAGCGTGATTTAGGTGTTCTCTAGTGCTGGACTACAAACAGATCTCTCAAACTGGGTGACCCTTTGACTGAGGGAGAACCCCCTTTTTGTGGGTAGCTGCCAAACCCCGGCCACTGAATTGAAACAGACACTCCACCAACTATTTAGAAAACTGGGTCCAGCACCTCACTTTCACCTCCTCTTAAGTTATAACAATAACCTGGTAACTTGACTTACCCAGCTCCTCTTCCAAATAGGTGATGTCCCGGCCATTATCAGTAAGGGCTTTGAAGACCTCCAGCCTCTCCACAAGGTCCACGTTGCTGGGGTAATCTTTTATAACCCGAAAAAAATGTGCACGGAGGAACCCAAGCCTTTCACCCTACAGAATTTCATATTATTAGAATACAGAAAACAGCTTTTCTTCTTTAGCAGTCCGCATGTGAACCATGTGATTTACAAGGACTTTCCGGAACACGCCAGAACCCCCAACCAGGAACTTATAAACACATCTGCTCTGGCAGACACAGAAATATGAATGCATGGCCACTTTATATGTCATGCATTTCTACTCTTGATATCCTCCAATATGGAAGCCTGTGTTATTGTTGTAATTGTTATTATTAGGGATGCACCAATACTAGTATCAGTGCCAATATTGAGTATTTGGGCGAGTACCCATACTCGCCCAAATGCTCTGATGCATAGCCCGATACCCGAATTCCGGTATCAAGAAGCCGGGGAGAGAGTCATTACACGCTGCCCGGCTTCCTGATTGGCCGGGAAGCCGACTCCATCGTCACTTGGTGACGAGGGAGCATGGAGCCGGCTTCCCGGCCAATCAGGAAGCCGGGCAGCGTGTAATGACTCGCCGCGCTGTATAGCTTCCCGATTGGTTGGGAAGCTGGCCAACCAGGAAGCTGGAAGGCGAGTCATTAAACGTCCCCGGCTTCCTTAATGGGACTTCCAGTATCAGTATTCGGTATCGGCAAGTACCAGAAAAAAAAAATATCGGTACATCCCTAGTTATTATGGTAAGCAGCTTTGGTGCAGAGCTATGTAGCTGCCTTTTTTCTTTCCAGGGGTGCCATAGCAGATACAGAAATCCGTTCTAAAAAGCGCAACTGGTATTCCTACATTTGTAACACCGTAGGTGGTCTTTTGCTGCCCATTTGGGCCCAATCCGTACTACAGCTGGGTGCTTCATATTTTTATGAACAACTTTATCTAAAATAAAACATTGCTATTCACACTTGCACATGGGGTTTAATCAGAAAATCTCACAAATTCTTCTGAGAGACTCATGTGATCTGCTGCGGCGGTAGGCACTGTACAATGCAGCTGCAGCACATGCTGCGATTCCATGTGGACAATCATACCTACATGCAAACAGTCTGCTTCCAGGTGCAGTTGTCTGCATGTAATAGCAGCATGCTGTACTGTATTGTACAGAGCCTCCCTCCTGCAGTTGATTGCATGAGACCCACGGAAGAAATTGTGACACTCAGCAATCCAAGTTCCCATTCGCAAATGTGAACTGTCTTGGGCCTCATTCACACTTGCAAACGGGGCCTAAACTGTCCACCTAATGCATACAAAGTCCATTGAAAGTCCCAAAACAGATGCATAACATTTGACATGAAAGCTTAATGAAAAGGAAGACATACCTGTCCAATGACAAGACTCTTCAACAAATTCAGAACATTGAGTCTGCCCTCAGCTGGCTGGTCTGGCTGCAACAGATCCATCACCGCCACCAAGATCGCTTCCACGGCGTGCTGGTAAGAAGAAGAACTATACACAGTTATGTCTAACAAGATCCTAATACAGTTAAGAGGTCAAGCTCACCCAAAACAAATACATCAGTTCTGATTGGACACTTGTGGATGTAGACATTTTTTTTAACGTTGAATGGAGACTAACGTGGCAAGTTTACCCAGCAGGACTTTTTGTCTTTACCCAATTAAGCCGGCCATACACTGTTAGGATTTCATTCAAAAGCAATCATTCGATGATGCCATCCTTAAAGGATTATTACACCCTCGAGTATTTTTGCATATCTCTACTGCTAGCAAGCAGTAGAGATATGCAAAAACATTAAATAAAAAAAAAAAGTTTTTAACCCTTTTTGTAAACTTAACTGCGTCTTCGCCGCACGCTCCCGTCCGAAGATCTGAAGATTCTCGGGCGGCCGCAAAGGATCATGAGGCGGGCGCATGCACAGTTCAGATCTTCGGCCAGGAGAAGGAGAGACACAAGGTAAGTCAATGGTGTCAGGAAGCGCCAGGAAGACACCGCAGTCGGCGTTGGACCAGAGACCGACACCAGCGCTGGGCGGACTCCTGAAAAACTACAGGAAAGAAGGAGATGACCGGATCAAGCGGCATCATTTAAGTCCTTACACCAGCATGGGGAGGGGGGGGAGGGGGATTGCCTTTAATGTCACTTTAAGTCAACTCATTTTGTTTGAAAACAGGTCTTCTCTAATAGAACATTGGCTAAAACCACTAAAATGTTCCACTGCAGGTAGCTCCACAGTAGACATGAGGGCCTTTGAAACCTACATGCGTCATCTCTGAAAGACCATCATACTTACGGCTTCAAACTTCTTGGTTTTTGCCAGTTCACAGATATGATTCATTGCACGGACCCGAATGCTTAGGGCGCTATCAGGGCTCAGTTCCTGGGGACCAGACAGAAAATTAGGCATTTTAATGCCAAGTGAGGAACCATAAAAAAACAGGAAAAAAAAAGCATTTAGAGGATACAAACTGACCAGACATGATCACAATCCACCCACCTTCAGCAGCTCGGAAGTGATGATGTACTCCGGCAGCCTGTCGGAATGTTTGGATTTGGGACGTGAAGGCCCTAACCCCAGAAATATCTTCATCTTCTCCTTCAGGCCCGGGTCTCTGCCCGTTTGCCGTGCCATGGTTGAAGTGACGAGGGGCCCTGCTTGGACACAAAACATGCTCAGTGCACATGGAACATCAAGTTAACAAACAACTGGTGTAGAGAAGCCATTAGGTTCCCGCTATGCAATGCAGACTTTATTTTTCCATGAAAAGGACCTTCTTATTCTGCTGTAGGCTTCTCAAGAATTCGAGAAGACTATTTCAGATATATACCTACTTCTGCTCTTCAAATAGAGGCCATAACCGTGCACTAGCTGACACATTGCAAAATGAGGTCTGCCTGACCAGTTTTGCTTTTACACTCATGGTGCCCCTTTCGATCTGCTGGACTCGGAGTAAGCTCCTATGGGAGTGGTTGGTTTGAGGTGTGATAGGCTTCCCTGAAGAGATGAGTCTTTAGCGATCGCCGAAAGGCAGTAAGAGTGGGAGAAAGACAGACAGGTTGGGGTAAAGAGTTCCAGAGGATGGGAGAGACTCGAAGTCCTGGAGGCGAGCATGGGAGGAGTTGATGAGGGAGCCAGAAAGCAGGAGGTCTTGGGAGGAACGTAGGGGACGGTTAGAGTGATACTTTGAGACAAGGTTTGAGATATCGCTGGGGGCAGAGTTGTGGATGGCTTTGTAACTGGTAATATTTTGAATTTATCCTTTGGGCGATTGGAAACCAGCTTGAATTTTATCCTTTGGGTGAACAGCTGGCTCCTTGCGGATTTGCTGGGAAGCCGGCTTCCCGGCCAATCAGCATCCAGCCGGATCCATGCTGATTAGCTAGGGAGCCAGCTTCCCAGCCAATAGAAAGCCCGGCTTCCTGATTAGCCAGAAAGCCGGCTCCATGCCAGCAGAAGCAGCAGTACTCGGTTTTACCGATTACTGAAAGCAAAATATCGGTACTCACACTCGATACCGAAAAACGGTATCGGTGCATCCCTAGCTTTAGATATGCTCTAAAGAACTGAACGGATTACTTGGCTATGACTCCCACTGTAATGGGGAAGTGAACAGAATGAGCTCACATGACAAGCATGCCACATCACTTCAGATGACTCCAATGTTATACGCAGACTTTCCAGTCATTCTGAATTCTGTAAACAGTCCCGGGATCTGGAGATGTGCAGGCTGAAAATGAACCCCTGTTAGCTTAAAGAGAGCAAGCCATTCTTATGCAAGAATCTGAACTTCTGGTTACAAAATGTTGCGTCAATAGTGTCACAAGAGGCGCGTGTTATCAGCACGAGGTCAGGCAGTTGGCAGTAAATGTTAATTCTGAGGTGACAACCACCAGGGCATAGAGTTGTCCCAGACACAGTAAGGGGTCTGTGTCAGAACTACTTCTCTCCCTATACAAGTCTATGGGAATGCAAACACAGCTTGGCACGGGTCAATGAACCTGAGTAGCAGGACAAGGAGAGGGCAAAATTGTATTTTTTGTACTCACTGTAAAATCCTTTCCCCTGCCTTCACTGAAGGACACAGCGGGGATATTCAGATCTGGACTACTGGGCTTGTGGTCAATATCTAAAGATCTTCGCTATGTCCTTCAATGAACAGAAGAGAAATGTTCCTGTCGGTAAACTGCAATTGATCTCAGCAGCATCTCAAAGGCAAGAAAAACACACCTGAAAGGAAGCTGCAGTTGCACATTGACACCAGCCACATAATGCCACTAAATGGGGCAAAATCTTTGTTGTATGTCAACACATTCGTGATAACTCAAAGCTCAACTCTGGGCTTGTGCCCTTCTCCACCCGTGTTCCCCTTCTTCCACCTCTGAAGGCCATCCGTGCTGTATTTTATGACTTTTGAGCCAGTCACGTGATGCCGCAGTGTCCTCTTCCTCTCTTGTTGGAGCTGGGTCAGTCTCAATGCTGCAGACATCACCACATCACGGCAGCTCCCTGCCCCATTACCCAGTGATATCAGGGCACTGTGGCTGGTGGGACCATGACATCCTGCACTCACAGTATGTCCTCGGTCTTGCTGGCTGAGTGATGCATTTGCTTGTGGTTGGTGTGTTTCCTGTTGCAGGTAGGCGGAGCCTATATCTCGATGGCTGTCCTGGAAGATGACTGGGGAAAACCCTTTAAGAATGAACATTCACATTTTTGCATAAGCCCAACTGTCACTGGTTCTCCTTAAAGTGACATTAAACCCTCAGATGTTTTAACATAAACCAATACTGTAATGTGTCCCTTACTGTATCCATGGTAGTTTCCCTTCTCTTTGCTGCTCCTTTTAAATCCTCATGTCTTCTCATGCTGGGGGAGAACTTCCCTTTGCAGCTGAGTGCCTCTTCCTGTAGTGCTGCTCAGGTTGCAAACCTACACACAGACACCATGTATCCATTTCAGAGACAAGGCAGTCTGCTGCAAAACAGAAGTTCTGCCCAGCATGAGAACAGATACAGATTTAAAAGGAAGAGCAGCAAAGAGAAGGGAAACAACCATGGATTACTGTAAGGCACACATTACAGTATTGTTTTATGTTAAAAAAATCTGAGGGTTTAATGTCACTTTAAGCACCCGTCCACACATACAGCGGTGACCAGTGTTTTACCATGCTGGATCAAGCCACAGGCCCCCCGGCAGGGCCCGACTATACACCTGCTGCCACAACGGCCACGTTACCCCACTGAAGGGAAGACCAAACAGGGCAACAGCCTGGGGGACCTTTAGGAGTCGACCCCCTAAATAGAAAAAAAAGGTGGTGAAGAACCTAAAATGTACAGGGGAACCTCTGCAAAGGTCAGGCAACACTACCAGGCACAGCAGCAGAGCCATACAGAGGGGGACTGCTGACCTCAAGGCCATCTGGTCAGATGGAAAGGAACAAAACATTGTGCAGACCTGGATGGTAAGAAACACAATCAAACTGAGGGACTAAGCGGGTGGGATGGTTTCTTTAAAATGCCTTGATTGTGTTTCCCGCAAATGGAAGAGCCAATCATCTCTCAGGTTGCTGAAAAAGGGGACTCCCGGTGAAAAAGCAGCAAAAAGTTTTCCCAGCACACTCGCCAGCCAACATGCAAAAAAAACTTGTCTCTTTTCTTGTATGCATGCTGGCTGGTGAGTGTGCTGGGAAAACTTTTTGCTGCTTGTACTGTATTTGGCCCTTCCATGTGCACCTTGCGGTTAAAGCTGGTAACAAATTGATGAGTGCGTTTGCTATTTGTTTTGCTTCCCCGTGTAAAAGGGGACCTCTATTATGAAAGAGGGGTTTCCAAAGTGAAAGGGGCTGCTGCTGTAAGAGGGGGGCGGATCTTAATTTAAAGGGGGCACTTTGATGCGAAGGGAGCAACCCACTTTTTCGTTATATCTTGCATAGGGTTCCCCTTAACATCCATGACATTTTAGACTGGGGTGCCTAGAAATGTTTGCATACTTTTAGAGGGGGCCGTGATTAAAAAAGGTGAGAAGCGCTGGCTTATTTTGATGATCACTACAATGTAATCTCTATAGTGACTGTACGGTACAACCAATGTTTCCTAAAATCTTGGCTTTTCAACTGGTATCTTCTCACAAGTCTTTCAAACCCACAACAGTATCACATCGCTTCCGTCTGATTGGGTCATTCTAGCATGAGACGAATACTCTGCGTGTGGGAGGGAAGTAGAATTCGATGGCAGTTTTGTAAACACAATCCATCCCGAGCATTGGGAACAATCTATCGAGTGATACAATTCGGAACGCTGAGTCTGCATGGAGCTGCCCATGGAGGCCATTGCGATCATGTATAGGAGTACACTTCCAGACTGCACACCTCGGCTGCTCTGCTCCATTGTAGGACTGCCAGCTCTCTATGTATGAGCCAGGCAGCCCACGTTTGGCCCTCCGTCAGAGTCTTAGATCTGTGACAAAACACAGATCTCTCAGATCCGTTCTGGGCCGCTGGAGACCACCACATGACCGGTGATCACAATGGGTGACCGATTATTATTCTACAATGGCACACCAAGGATGTCCATGGCAGGAGGGAATGGCTAGACCAGGGGTGGGCAATTCCCGCCCTCCAGCTGTGCTTTAGTTACAAATTTCACCATGCCTCTCAAGTCATGCCTGTAACTGTCAGTCTTGCAATGCCTCATGGGACTTGTAGTTCCACAACAGCTGGAGGGCCGGAGTTGCCCACCCCTGCTCTAGACCAAGGATAGGCAACCTCGGCACTCCAGCTGTGGTGAAACTACAAATCCCATGATGCATCTCTCTCCGGGAGTTATGTCTGTGGCTGTGGGAATGCAATGCCTCATGGGATTTGAAGTTCCACCACAGCTGGAGGGCTGGGGTTTGGCTACCCCTGCATTATATCAAGGGTAGGCAACCTCGGCACTCCAGCTGTGGTAAAATTACAAATCCCGTAATTGCTTCTGCCCCTGGGACCCATGCATGTGGCTGTCAGAGTCTTGCAATGCCTCATGGGACTTGTAGTTCCCCAACAGCTAGAGGGCCGGAGTTGCCTACTCCTAGTCTAGACCACAGGTAGGCAACCTTGGCACTGCAGCTGTGGTAAAACTACAAATCCCAAAATGACTCTGTGAGTCATGCCTGAGGCGCGTTCAGTTCCTTAGCAAAGCGCGGAGTAGCTGTTCCGCAGCAGCTTCACTGAACGCTTCAGCTGCGCAGTGCTAAACAAAACAGCGGAGGATAATATTTTTGACTAATAAAGACCATTTTCCAACAAATATTTGGTGTTCATTAAACTGTAGGTTCCGACAATGAACTGTGACTTCCTCCATCGGAGTTCAGGCACCTTTCCCCAATGCTGCCAGGTGTGCCCAGAGTTAAAATGGCCGCTGGCGGTCTGTTCCCACCTTCTCCAACACGCTCTGCCCCCACATTCACATCTGCTGCGAGTGCCAAGATAGCAGTGCTGAGCGCCGACTTGCAGCACGGCATCGGTTTACTAACTCAGCACTCGCAGCAGCCTCTGTAGCTGTCGGTCTTGCAATGCCTCATGGGACTTGTAGTTCCACAACAGCTGCAGAATTTGCACACATATTTTTGACCATGCAGGAGTAAGGTGCTCTGGGGTGCTATTAGAATGAATGGTGTCAAAGGTGTGGACAGGGCTTTAGGGAAGCACAATGGAAAGTCTGTTGCTGTATTGTTTGGAATGCATGACACTAATAAACAAACATGTATACATGTACATACAACATTATATACACATGGAAGCAGTGTGCAAATGCATGGCAGGAGTGAACTTCTAATATACATATATAAACACACAGAGGCTGGTAAGGCTACTGCAATGCAGATTGCATGACACATATACATACAGATATATAGTGTGTCATACAGTGTGTGTATATACACACACAGAGCACAGGTTGCCCAGTGCACAGTCTCCCCCTCCATGACCGGCCCGCCGCCCTCCACTCACCCGCAGCTCTCCCTCACTGCTGTCACTGGTACGCACCCACTCACCCAACTTCAACCCTCGGCTTCAGGGCCTGCAGTTACCGCCCCCTTCACTTCCCCGGAGCCCCGCCCTCCTACGCAGTCACGTGCACCCCAAACACGGAAGCGCCTTCCCCCCGGAGGCTCCTGGGAGTTGTAGTGTTGTGGTGTGTTTGGCCATGTGTGAGGTGGTGGTGGGTGAAGCATGAGCTCTGCCAGGGTGACCCGGAGTGGCAGGAAAGCGCTGGAGAGTGGTAGGAACAGGGGAGGATGCGGTACTGAGAAACATGGAGGTAACACAAGTGATGAAGGAGTGCAGGAGGGGTTTTCGTTTTTGTTAATGAAGAGGACCTGTCACCTCCATTGGCGTGTGCAGCCTGACAGTGAGGCGATTGTAGGCTGTCAGCTGACCTACTTGGAAGCATGGGGGCAGGGAGGTCACCATGGATGCAGTTTTGTAGGACAAACTGCTCTGCGATTATTTAATATGCGCACCTACATGTATCAGTCATGCTTCGCTGCCCATAAACATGCAGATCTCTCACTCACCAATTCCTTCACCCCTCAGATCACCCCAGTTCCAGCACCTTCACACCTCAGATCACCCCAATTCCTGCACCTTCACCCCTCAGATCAGACCCAATTCCAGCACCTTCACCCCTCAGATCAGACCCAATTCCAGCACCTTCACCCCTCAGATCAGACCCAATTCCAGCACCTTCACCCCTCAGATCAGACCCAATTCCAGCACCTTCACCCCTCAGATCAGACCCAATTCCAGCACCTTCACCCCTCAGATCAGACCCAATTCCAGCACCTTCACCCCTCAGATCAGACCCAATTCCAGCACCTTCACCCCTCAGATCAGACCCAATTCCAGCACCTTCACCCCTCAGATCAGACCCAATTCCAGCACCTTCACCCCTCAGATCAGACCCAATTCCAGCACCTTCACCCCTCAGATCAGACCCAATTCCAGCACCTTCACCCCTCAGATCAGACCCAATTCCAGCACCTTCACCCCTCAGATCAGACCCAATTCCAGCACCTTCACCCCTCAGATCAGACCCAATTCCAGCACCTTCACCCCTCAGATCAGACCCAATTCCAGCACCTTCACCCCTCAGATCAGACCCAATTCCAGCACCTTCACCCCTCAGATCAGACCCAATTCCAGCACCTTCACCCCTCAGATCAGACCCAATTCCAGCACCTTCACCCCTCAGATCAGACCCAATTCCAGCACCTTCACCCCTCAGATCAGACCCAATTCCAGCACCTTCACCCCTCAGATCAGACCCAATTCCAGCACCTTCACCCCTCAGATCAGACCCAATTCCAGCACCTTCACCCCTCAGATCAGACCCAATTCCAGCACCTTCACCCCTCAGATCAGACCCAATTCCAGCACCTTCACCCCTCAGATCAGACCCAATTCCAGCACCTTCACCCCTCAGATCAGACCCAATTCCAGCACCTTCACCCCTCAGATCAGACCCAATTCCAGCACCTTCACCCCTCAGATCAGACCCAATTCCAGCACCTTCACCCCTCAGATCAGACCCAATTCCAGCACCTTCACCCCTCAGATCAGACCCAATTCCAGCACCTTCACCCCTCAGATCAGACCCAATTCCAGCACCTTCACCCCTCAGATCAGACCCAATTCCAGCACCTTCACCCCTCAGATCAGACCCAATTCCAGCACCTTCACCCCTCAGATCAGACCCAATTCCAGCACCTTCACCCCTCAGATCAGACCCAATTCCAGCACCTTCACCCCTCAGATCAGACCCAATTCCAGCACCTTCACCCCTCAGATCAGACCCAATTCCAGCACCTTCACCCCTCAGATCAGACCCAATTCCAGCACCTTCACCCCTCAGATCAGCCCCAATTCCTGCACCTTCACCCCTCAGATGAACGCCATTTCCAATTTTTGTGTTTTTGCAGGTGAGTCTGACAAGCTGCCCTCTAGAGGGATACGGGGGAAGAAGGGGGTTCAAGTCGTATATGACTCAGCAGAGGACGTGGAGAAGAAGCTGAAGTGGGAGCCTCCAAACTGGCAGAAACACTTGGAGAACATCAGGCAGATGAGACGTGGACGGGACGCCCCGGTGGATCAGATGGGAGCTGAGAAGTGTTTTGATCAGAACGCTGCCCCAGAGGTATCATCTATAGCAGTGCTTCTTAAAGTGTGGGTCGCGACCCCATATGGGGTCACGCAAGTGAACAGGGGGGTCGCGATCCGAGTACCCGGCCAGGACCGCCATTAGGGGGCTATGGCCGGTACTTGTGTGAGGGGCCTAGGCGGCCGAGGAGGTCCGGGCACCGACTTACGCTAGGGGAGGGGGGAGACACCGACTTACGCTAGGGGAGGGGGGAGACACCGACCGACGTTGGGGTCCCTTAAAAATTTCCTCGGCCAAAAAGGGGTCACGAGTGGAGAAAATTTAAGAAGGCCTGATCTATAGGAGGGGACGCCAACCTTCGTCAGCTCTCAGGAGCTACAGACGGGTGGAAAAGAGCCATATTGAGTCTTTCTGTAAAAAAATAAGTCAAGGCAACTGGACTGGCTGTATTTTTCTTGAAGACGTTTCACTGGTCATCCAGCCAACCAGCTTTCTCAATTCACAATGCCTTGACAAAAATTATCTGGGAATAAATATAATGAATTTCGCTCCAAATCACATAATCTGTTATTCACAACCAGGTGTTGAGTGCATAAAAAGGTCACTCCTTTGAAGACAGTCAAGTACGTATCCTATGAAATTAGTGGTAAAAGCCACTAATTAGTGGCAAATTTATATCTGACCACACAGATTTCAGCTGCTGCTTAACTTGATTAGAGTAGTGGCGCGAGGTTTCACATTATTCAAGTACGTATCCTAAACAGGGAGGAGGACTGGTTTAACCCCTTCGTGACGGGAGACGTATACTGTACGTCCCGCCACTTTGTGCCTATATGACTGGCCTCGTACACTGTACGTGACGAGTTATATCAGGCTCTGTAATGCCGGTAACTGCTGATTCTCATTAATGAATGCCTCAGTATTGAGGCATTCATTGATGAAATAGTTAAGCTTTTGTAAAAGCTTCTTTCTTTCATTAATGAAAGAATGAAGCCGTTACATGCAAATACGGGAGCGCTAACTAGCGCTCTGGTATTTGACAGCTGAAAATAGCAGAGAGGCAGCAGAGAGACTCACCTCCCTGCTATTTGTTTTGACAGCTCCATAGACTGGATGTTTATGAAGCTATGTGATACATCTCAAGCAAAGAGATACAAGAGATACAATGTATCATTTCTGATCATCTAGGCACGATCAAAGAGCTTTGAGATCTGAATCTGACATGCTGTCAGGATCAGTCTCTAAGGTTATTATTAGCTGTTCCGAAGTTTGGAGCAGCCCAATAATAGCCAAAATGTTTTTTTTTTTAAAGTTAATTTATCAAGCAGTCATAGTGACTGTTTGATATAAACTGGCAAAAAAAAAAGTTTTTTTTTTTTTTACAAAGTATAAAAAAATAAATACTTCATATTTATTCCCAGATAAATTTTGTACAAGTCATTCTGAATTGAGAAAAGCTATTTGTATGACCAGTGAAATGTCTTCAAGAAAAATACAGCAAGTCCAGTTGCCTTGACTGATTTTTTACAGATCCTCTATGTACTGTACATGTAGAATGTTGTGAGGTTTTTCTTGGAATTCTGTCCACATAGAAACATTCCCGGACAAGATGCTGAATACAGAAGAACAGCAGCATTTTATCTGTGTGTTTGAAGATAGTGGAGAGCAGATGTGTCATGTGTTGGCGTGTGTGTGTTGGCGTGTGTGTGTTGGCGTGTTGGCTTTTTGGTTGGAATGCCAGTAAAATCAGGATGAGACTCTCCGATACTGTACACAGATGACACCCATCCAGCCCCGGTCTCTTACAGCACATCACAGCCTAGGATGTTGTTTGCTGGATGCGGTTTTGGCTTTCATCTCCGTTTATGTGTCCCGGATCATCTTATGATGAGTTCTGCGTTCTTCTATTGGTCACACGATGCATCTATACATATCGCTTTCAAGTGACACTAAACTGAGAAGTTAAATCTTAAAAATACATTCAAGTACCTGAACTAGTAACAGAAACATATCTTATGTGTGTATCAGTCGGCTGTAGATCCTCAAATCATCTCTGAATTGGTGCCGACACTGTCCTTCCTTCTGGAGGGTGACTACTTTTGTTCCCCATGGTCCCTGTATGTGTTGTTAAGTAGTCACCGCTCCAAGTTCACTCCTGTGATGGACTACAATCCCAATACAAATGAGTAAACTAAACCTGAGATTGTCGTCCATCACAGGAGCGAGCTTGGAGCGGTGACTACTTTACAACACTTGCACTTTAAATCGTTTTTGTATTTTTTGATACTAAAAGAAAATTATTGTGTGTTTTCCATGAGTATATCTTTTATGTTATCGTGAGTGTGCGTTGTGATAAGACTGGCTTGCTTGCCCGGGTCCCCCCACCCCCCCCCACTCTGAAGACATTCCGGTAGCCTAATTGGCTCCTCTCTAGTTTTGGCCCTGTATGTGTGCCTGTGAGCTAGGGACCTTAGATCATCAGCTCCTCGGGGGCGGGGACTGGTTTGACTGAATAGCAGGTAAGGTGCTGCGTAAATTGACAGTGTTATAAAAATACTAGTAATGAACAAATCTATAAATACGATTAGTAATCGTAAGATACCTATAGACTACGGGTAGGCAAACTCTGGCCCTCCAGCTGTCGTGGAACTACAAATCCCATGAGGCATTGCAAGATTCTGACAGCCACAGACATGAGTCCCAGAGACAGATGCATCATGGGATTTGTAGTTTCACCACAGCTGGAGGGCCAGCGTTTCCCCACCTTTGCTATAGACAGAAGATGATAGGTGCTTGATCCACCTACTTCAAGGTGATGGTCTCTGTTGGCAGTGCACCCCAGTAGATCTTGGGGGACAGTTCTTGTTGGAATGATTAGTTTTGAGGAGACATATTGCAGTTGGTGTTGTAATGATTATTCTTGTTGGCAGGAGGGTGTGCAGCGGGCTCAGCAGTATACAATATATGCAATATACATAATTACATTCAAGTCATAGCGCTCTCTAGTGGTCACATAATACTGAACGCCGCATGCCGTCTCCTTTTCTGACCTCTGTCTCTGTGCAGGTGATGCGTTACCAGGTCCTGCTCTCCTTGATGCTGTCCAGCCAGACAAAGGATCAGGTGACCTCGGCGGCCATGACCAAGCTACGGGAGCACGGGCTGACCGTACAGAAGATTTTGGAGACAGGCGAGGAGACTTTGGGGAAGCTTATTTATCCAGTAGGATTCTGGAAGGTGAGAGAAGCGGTGATTTGTTACCAGATTCATTTTCTACCCCTTGGTGGCGTTTTGCGGTCCGAGCTTACATTCTGCCGGTCTGTGTTGCCCATAGTAACCAATCCCACTACAATACACAACTGGGAAAAGGAAAAGCAGAACCTGGTTGGGTTCAGGGGCAGCTCTTCAGAACCCATTCCTTCATGAAACAGGGATATTAAAGGGGACCTGTCACAAAAAATGAACTAACCCCATGTAAAATGGCTAGGTGGAAAGCACGGGGAGACAAATATACAAGATACTTTTTGGAGACCCCAAAACTGCAGCTTCCTAGAAAAGCTGAGGATCCAAGATGACGTGAGAATCCCAGCCCAGTGCGGATTTACATTGGCATGAGCTTTCTCAGGGTCCCTCTGCATAAGGAGGTGGGGTGATAATATATAGGGGTTGGATTATTTTTTGCTTTAAAACCTAATTCCAGTAATTTTTTCCAAATGGGTCCCTACCACTTCCTGTATGTGCGTTGCCAAGCAGTACTTGCCCTCCTTACGGTAGAGTGCTGCCCCATTTGTTCCTTTCATGGTCCAGATTAAATGACACCCAGTGTAAGCCCAGGCCATTATAATTGAACTCTAACCTCCCCTTTAGTTTTGTACAGTTGTAGCGGCTCCTCTCCTGGACTGAAATGGCTTCCTCTGATTTTACCGCACACTGTGAGCTTCTCATAATGTGCATTATAAGCTGCAGCAAGTCAGATCGAGCCTACTGCATTTTCTTGGCTGGATGACATCTAGCATCATCTAGCTCTTTCTGTCCCAGCCTTACTGCTCCTGGCCCGCCACTTTCATTTATTGGATTTCAGTTCTTCCAATCATGGAGGTGCTGCATCACATGGGGACATTACTAGGCGGTTCTTCATGCACATGCAACCTGCCTAGGAGCACCCACTCCTCCAGACTGGCACCCGCCCATCAAGGCATATTGATATTTGCATAACTCCTCCCCACAAGCCTGCCCAGTTCTTGCATCAAAACTGACGGCTCTTGAGAGCAGCACTGGGGCAGGGTGCTGTGATGTTTTCAGGAAGCTATGTACAGCACCCTGCCGGCCTGTCCAGCCCAGTCACGATCTGCCTGCATTGCATAAGGAAGCACAGTGGCACCGTGAGGATGTCACTGAGTCAAAAACAAGGTATGTAATGAGAAAATTGTTTATTTATAAATGTCATTAGTGTGTTGATGATGAGGGGAGGGAGGAAAATCTAAGCAAATTGAACTTCAGCTTTAGGGACATGCCCCCTGGTGCCTTGGACATAGGAGAATTCTACAGAGAGACGAGACATGTCATTACGTTGTGCTGTTTTCTGCAGCATTCAGGACCCATCCACTGCTTTATGATTGGAGCTGTGACATCATGTGACTGGAAGGCCACCTTAACCCCATGCACGTGATTGTTATGCTATAGAAATAGCTCGACAATAAAACATACATAACGTACAGTAATACCTTGGTTTACGAGCATAATTCGTTCCGGATCTTATGACTCAACAAGACCAGGCATTTGGCAGGAAAGTCCTGCAAGCTGTGGTCCCACCCTAGGAGGTAAGATTTGTCCTCACTGATCCTCTCGATGGCTGTCCTGGAAGATGACTGGGGAAAACATGAGTTGATTACCTGATAACTCTGTTTCCAGGAATCTTCCAGGACAGCCAGTTCCCGCCCTTGGTGTGTATCCAGGTGGCATCCGAGGTTGGATGAAGGAGGGGATACTTTTGTGCATGGGGTAGCCTTCGGTCCTAGAGGTTACTGACTTGGGATGGAAGGAGGAGTCTATTTATTTAATGTGGTTGGTGTGTTTCCTGTTGCAGGTAGGCGGAGCCTATATCTCGATGGCTGTCCTGGAAGATTCCTGGAAACAGAGTTATCAGGTAATCAACTCATGTTTTTTTGTTTATTTACCTGCTGTGAAGTGACCTCCGTCTTGCCCTCGTTCATCAGAGCAAAGTAAAGTACATCAAGCAGACCACTGAGATCCTGCGGGAGAAATACGGGGGCGACATACCCGATAACGTAGCCGAATTGGTGAAACTTCCCGGGGTGGGCCCCAAAATGGCTCATCTGGTCATGGACATCGCTTGGAACAAGGTATCGGGGATCGGTAAGTCTCACCATCAATGTTATATTGAGAAGATGGTTGTACCCAGTTCCCTGTTCCAGAAACTTCCCCCACTTCCTGTGTAGTGTTATCTTCTCAGGTTGGTGACCTTCTGACATTAGAAGTTCATGATGAAGCGTTTGCTGTCATTTTGGAAGTAATGTATATCTCTGATGTAAACAAATATCGTGTATTGTCTTAGTACAGATGTAGAATAGAAATAACGGCTCATTATATGACACTGCTGACGCGCAGAGCTGAGGTCTAGTGTATAGTGGTCAGCACTGATTGCCCTCAGTTCGAATCCTGACCAGGCACAATCTGCATGGAGATGGCAGGATCTCTCTGTGCTAGTGTGGCTTTCCTCCGGGTACTTCAATTTCCTCTCACACTCCAAAGACATGCTGGAAGGTTAATTACCGTATTGTGCGGTCCATAAGACACACCGGACCATAGGACGCAGGGAGGTCCGGCGCGCCTTATGGAGCACTCGACAGACCGTAGCTTCTGTCACAACTTCTATGACAGAAGCTGTGACAGAAGCTGCACTTAGCGACCGCGGAGACAGGTGGCGCTGTGATTACAGCGCCACAGTCTCAGTGATGACACAGAGCAGGCGAAGAACGTCCGTACTTCGTCTGCTCTATGGTGATCTCGATCGTCGCCGCTGCTCGGTTTTAATACGAGTGATCTCATTAGATCACTCGTATTAAACGAGCAGTGGCTCCTACTACTTGCCCGGCGCCCGAAACTGCATGTCTCGGGCGTCGGGATTCGCTCCATAAGACGCAGGCACATTTTCCCCCTCCTTTTGGGGGGAAAAAAGTGCGTCTTATGGAGCGAAAAATACGGTAGCTCCTGTCTTTATTGGTCCTTATATGTTACATAGTTACATAGTATTTGGGGTTGAATAAAGACATACGTCCATCAAGTCCAACCCATATAGGTCCACGCATCATCTCATTCTTAGGGATACTGGTATCCCTGGATATTACGGTCCCTCAGGAAATCGTCCAAAAGTTTCTTGAACAAATCTACACTTGGCTGAAATCACTGCCGGTGGCAGCGAGTTCCAGACCCTGACCGCTCTTTCTGTGAAGAACCCCCTTCGCCCCTTGTGCTTGAATTGTTTTAGGTGATGGCCTCTAGTCTTTGTTATGGAGTTAATCTTGAAGAGTTTGTTGCCAATGTTGCTGTCACCATTGAACATCTTGTACATGAAAATCATATCCCCCTTAATCTCCTTACTTAGGAGATGTGAGACAAGGACCTTAGTTTGAAAGCTCGTCAAGGGCAGGGTACAGCACTGTGTATTATAAACAATTTTCTATTACTTTTTCTTTCACCCTTTATCGCATGTCCGTGCTGATGATCTGCAGCCACTTCCTGTCTACGTGCACTCCAGTATTGGTTGCATGTCACTTCTCAGGACAGCTTTCCTTATGGTGACTGCTGTTAACCATGCCTGTGTAATGTGTGTGGATTTGACCACCTGTATTCTTCATCAGAAGGCACGGTGACAATACAGGAGATAGGGACAAAGCGTGGTCACCCTATAACAGGAAGTGCCTGGACATGGACCCTCATGGCAGGATCACCAGGGATTATTTTATTGGGAGCTGCTGATTTAAAATGACATTAAAATCTCATACGAAGCTTTAACATGTTAGTTATTGGGTTTATATATATTATAACTGGCTTCAGTTTAAACTGCTTTCATAATGACAGGTGACGCTTTACATATGTGCCCAAAAGCAAGGTGCTGCAAAGCCCGGCCTCTGTCTTGCACGGCACACCACGCTTTCTAGAAACAGTCGCAGCAATTGCAGGAAGTCCTTCTGGACTGTTGTAGTAAGTGTTGTTGCTGCCATCAGAACCCGGTAGGTATATCCGTGTCCATTATAACCACATGTAGAGCTAAATGTTGAACGGCCTCTGCCCTCAGGTGTGGACACTCATGTACATCGAATTTCTAACCGACTTAAGTGGGTGAAGAAAGAGACCAAGAGCCCAGAAGACACTCGGGTGGCCCTTGAAGACTGGATGTCCAGGTGAGGAAGCTGCACATGTACCAGTAACGAAGGTGGGTAATGTGGTGACTAAGTGGTCAGTCCTGTAGGGTGCAGCGCTTGGATGCTGAGTTTCCTACCAGGGAGACTGCATTGAGACTGCAGCAGCAGCAGGACTGAGCTATGCCTATGAAATGACATGTGAGTGCTGTTTTAGTCTTGAGAGGTACTAGGAGCCCAGTGATCATGAACCCTTGTGGGGGTGATAGGGTGAGCTCATAGCAGGTGGGCACAATGACATGACAATTGTTCTGCCCTGAAGAGGACCGCCTGCACTGGACTCACATGAAGTTGGAGACAGTGTTGAAGTGTGGAGAGGGTACGAATTCAGAATGGCTTGACGCATTTTACATAAGTCATGTAAGCACTTTTGAGCAATATGCACAGAGGCATTCTGAAGTCCATCGCTGACTGGATACAGACAGTCTGCATACAGGGGAGTACTTGCATATACCCATCGTCATCACACAGCCTGGGCTTAGAGTACTACTGCGTTGAGTGACTAATATATTATCACATAAGCACCATTCCATTCAAGAGTAAGGATCACCCAACCCTGCCTGAAGAGGGAGGATACTTGACATCACCAGACCGGCCAGAAGGCCCCGGGAAGCAAGGTATGTATACACTGATTTTTATTGCAAA